GCGACTTGCTGTGTGAATCATAAACGGATCAGTCTCACGGAATAACCGACCATCACCGTGTTCGTTTCTTGCTGTACCAAACGCGGACGTCATGCCTTTGGTACAGATTCTTCTTATTTTCCTGTTCTATTCCGTTGCGTTCGATTCTGTTTTGTGTTCATTCGTCGTTGGCATATTTCATATTTTCGACTGTGCGATGAATCATCATTTGTCAGTCGTACAGTGCATATGACGGAGATTTGTGTATAATCTTCGGTCGACGATGTGTTGTACAGTTTTTTGTATTTGACGTTTCACTTTGTTTTCGTAATGCTTGTTTTCTACAGTATATAGTGCATTGGCGATATGGTTAAAGTTTATCCTGTTTTTACCCAATAAACTTAATGCCGTACGTGCGGCGACTATGAGATCTGTTTTGATCCGTTTTCATCGGTACTCGTCGGTACGCGTGTACGAAGGCGACGAATTTTGTCTTTACTCGGCTTTGCAGTGTGATTTGTCGTTCGTCGAAGTTTCAGGCTCTGTGCTGCAGTAGGTGACCGGATAAAAGCGCATAAGAATCGTGTGAATGCGTATTTAATTTCTAAAGCTAATCGAATTGGAAAATATGAATAAACATGAAATAAACATAAATATGAAATAAACATGAAAGTAAACACCGATCTTAATTGTTTACTGGCGAACTGCTGGTTTTCGACCTCACCGATAAGAATTTCTGTTTCTGCTAGATTTACACGGCAAAGATGTATCGTAACTTGTTTCTCGCGGCCTAGGAGATCATTTAAACAGATCAGTGCCCCATGTTATTTTAGTCCATGCAGTGCATATGTGCAAAAATGCATCATGTGTCTGTAAGGCCAAACAATATCTTGTTTTAATACATGCCGATATGCCACTCCATAGTCATACTGATACATGAAAATAAACACAGATGGAACATTTAGTTTCTGAAGCTCATATGCAATACCGTATCGTCGATGACTTCAAAGTGATAGGTCTTTTGATTCTGGCAGCACGAAGAAGAAGAACAAAAGTGGTTTATGTACAAGAATTCCAGTGTTTCGACCAAATTGGCATCGGTAATCATCGATGGAAAAAGTCATTCCCTGATGATGATCGTTGCCAATGCGTTTAGAACGTTAGAATTGTGTAATTGAAAGTTTTCCCCTGTTTCTTGTGTCAAACGTGCAATCAGGCGACCTGTAGCCTATGAAATGTTTCATATCGTATTTCAAACCTGAATACACAAAACTGGAAGCGATAGAAATGATCTTAATATTAATGTTACGAGTGAAGTGGTACAGTCTTACGTCAAATACTGTTGTAAGAGATAGACTAAAGATATGATGTTAGAGAGATTGTGAAGCCACTGTCAACGAATGGACGAAACAAACACTGAACTCAAAGTCTGATGTCAGATGCCGCTACGAAGTTCTCCAGAAAGACTCTAAGATCTTGTTAATACAGATGTGACATCGAAAGGGCTGAAGGGTGAGCACGCATTTCAATTCGATCTAAGTGAATTGCTTGCATGGCACCCGTCGTCGTTTGCGATGCAATATGATATCAAGAAGAATTGAAATGAAACGCAATGTTTACTTCTTTGCTCGTACAGGTTGAAGACGGACTCCTCATGTCAGATTAAGAATGTACTTCGGTAGGCGTGAATCCTCACCCGGTAACTTCTGGAAGGACGTAAACAACAAGAACCATATCGAAGGCGTTCGAGAGATTAGCGTTTCTACTGTTCAGTAGTTCTTTCAGGTCTTCAACGTAAAACCCCTTGTTTCAAGTAAGATGATATAGCGAATCATCATCTGCTGCAGAGTTCGAATCAATATAAGTGTACGTTATTACTATATATGATAAGTATAAATTGCTCGTGAACAAGGATTTCACGGGAACGATACCGACAGTGCGAACTCAGAAATTTGAACATATCACTCAAGGGGATAAAGCAGGGGCTGGTTGATGAGCCTAATGCCTCAGTGCGCTAATGATTTTATTGAGAACTTTATAGGAATATGATTTATTCATAAACATTGCAAATGAACTGGTCAGTCAGGCAGAGCATATCGTACATGTGACAGTCTGACCTAAGCTGTTTATTGCGTGTTGATTTTGCTGTTTAAACTGTACGATGCTACAGCGTCGATTAGGCATTTCATGTCGCAAGGTCGTTTCGCCACATTTATGTTTCACTATGTAAAACCGTAAACTTAAAGAAAACATGTGAAAAGTTGAAAATTTAATACCAAAATGATGCATAAGTTCTGAACCTCATAAACGGGCCGCAAGTGATGAAGAGTAAGCCCGAAAAACAAGCATTGAATTAGCGCGAAGTTTAAGGAACCGTAGAACGATGTTCCTCTGTTAGTTTCGTCATCATTTGTGATGGTCATAATTATTCGACATGACAGTAACAGTTTGTTGTTGGCACACTGATAAATCAATATCGTTTTCGGGTTAGGGAAGTTTGGTGTAAATATATACGACTGACTTTTTACCGTTTCGTGTATCATTTTTAGAAGATTCGGCAATCTTATGGTCATGTGCTAAGTTATGCAACCGTGTTATAATATGTTTTTGATAGTCATTCATGATAAACAATAAACATGAAAGTTGAACGTTAGGTTTTGTTACATAATTTATCGACGTTTCGAGCCATACTCGACTTGTTGTCAAAAATCGGAAGTGGTGATCTGTTAAATTTACTTTTATCATTAAGTCGGTCATTTCTGTCATTAAATCTGTATGCGGAGAAATCTTCTAAGAAATATTAACACATTCATATTAGTTATTATTCGTTCATTCACTTTATGATACTTCTTTAAGTCGATTGGTGATTAATAACCGGATTCAAGCTAGTCGTAAAAATTTCTGCGCTTTACGAGGATCATAAAGTAGCTTACATATTGGGGTGTGTGATGTTTGCAACTCTGAATTCATCGATGAACTGCTTTAGAGTGCTTTTGTTTATTTGTACACCTTCTGCGTTAATCTTCATATTGTAAAACAGTCACAGTTCCTCTGAAAACAGTGTTGGTCACCTAGGGTTCGCTCTAAAATTCACGCGATCAGCGCAGTTGTACTCCAACCATAAGTCGAAACACGAGGACAGAGAAAGATATGTAGGCGCTGAAACGTTGCTTCCTTACACTTTACTCATGCGGCAACTTCTGCATTCCCTGTTCAGCAGCCAGTAGTGCCTAAAGGCAGAATTGTCAACAGCTGTACGGCAAGCATAGCGGGCAGTCTCCTGTTGTCTTTCCACAGAATGGCACTCATTTATCAATTTGTTTAGGAGGTAAGACGAGTGACGCGGTCGGCCCTCTAACCAGGCACCTCTCGGTTCTGAATTTGACGCTATGCCGACTGAACAACCCAGGTCTAGAAGTGTAAGCATAACGCAAATCCTAAGTCTTCGTAACTCCCAGGCTTCGCATGAGTTTCGTACCGCGATGACGCAGAGCTGTTTCCTAAGATGTCACGTCATGAAATAGGTCGCAAAGGGAAACGAACCGGACATCTGTCTGTTATGTGGATTCAAAGTCGCGGTTACGCGACTGCTCGCCGACACTAACCACCGCACTGCACCGGAATAGTTTGCGGGAAAACAACAGCGCTGGAACTTCCATGCCGGGGACAAGGGGGAAAGTATGTTGATCACGCGGGGCGTTAGAATCACGGTACGTTTCAGTTAACCGACGTTGTTTGGCTTTACATGTTTTTAAATGGCTCGCATTTGTCGAGATGCGATTCAAATCGGCTGTGTTAATGTCGTTTGTGACAAAAATGCGCATTATCTTGGGAGAGGGG